TGAGTTGGTTTAGAAATGAGGGATGGATTTTGTGGATGGAAATTCTGAAACATTTCTACATGTTGTGGTAGCTTTTGCTCTGGACTCTCTATTCAGGAATCTTTTGCAACAGATTTGGTAGATTTTTTTCCCCTTAGAAGTGTATTAAAAATACTACCTTCCCATTCAGTTTCCCTCTCTTCCCCTAATGTCCTTCATGACATCCCTTATGTACATATGAGTGAAACCATGTGATAATTGTCTTTCTCTGCTTGTCTTCTTTCACTTAGCATAATCTCCACCAGTTCCACCCATGTCAGTGTAAATGATGGGTATTCATCCTTTCTGATGGCTGAGTAATACTCCATTGTATATATGAATGTATCTTCTTTATCCATTCGTCTCTTGAAGTGTATCTGGTCTCCTACCACATTTAGGCTATTGTGGGCACTGCTGCTATGAACATTCAGGTGCATATGCTCCTTATTTTCACTACATCTGTATCTTTGGGATAAATACCTAGTAGTGCAACTGCTCGGACATAGGGTAGCTCTAGTTTTTAACTTTTTGAGGAATCTCCATACTATTTTCCAGAGTAGCTGTACCAGCTTCCATTGCAACCAACCAGTGTAAGAGGGTTCCCCTTTCTCCACATCCTTGACAACATTTGTTGTTTCCTGTCTTGTTAATTTTTGCCATTCTAACTGGTGTAAGGTAGTGTCTCCCTGTGGTTTTGACTGCTAACTGAATATAATAATTTTAAAAAAAGATATTGCCTTCTAGTAGGGCAAATTTGGGAAGGTTTTCCTCTTTAAAAGACTGAGAATTTACTAATTTAGGGATTCCTCAGCTTTAGATGTAGGTGCACTGTGTAACACAATACCCATTAGTGCCCTTCTCTGCAGAGAAAGGGAACTGATAAGAATATGAAGCACCTGCTTCCTGCTATATAATAAATAATAAAGCTTTCTGTCACTGACCCAATAGGACCCCTCTGTTCAGTATCTGTGAAATGATGTTTGGCCAACCTGTTAGACTCAAGGTAAAATATCAGGCTTTGATTAATACCATAGATTTGGGGGTGCCTGGGTGGCTCAGTGAGTTAAAGCCTCTGCCTTTGGCTCAAGTCGTGATCCCAGGGTCCTGGGATTGAGCTCCACATTGGACTCTGTGCTTCCCCCTCTCTCTCTGTCTGCCTCTCTGCGTACTTGTGATCTCTCTCTCTCTTTGTCAAATAAATAAATAAAATCTTAAAAAATATACCATTGATTTGGTAGAATATAATAAAGATAAATATTGTAGCACTTTAATCAATAATAGCTTTACTTTTATCTTATTTAAATGTTCAGTCTGGTATGTTGAAACTCCTCCACGAAGTCACTTGTTTGTAAGTTAATGCAATGGTGTCAGGAACCTGGGTGTACTCCCTCTTGTTGAACAGCCAGTGTATTCCTAGTATGGTTGCTCATATTCATGGCTCTAAATGGCTTGCCTTCCCATGTGCTGGTATCACAACAGTGAGAGGGGGGTAAAGAGGAAATGAGCAAACCTCTTTCATCAAATGATAATCCATGGAAATTGCATATCTTCACTTATAACCTTTGCTCATAATTTAGTTACATGGTCACAACAAGTTGCAAGGAAGTCTAGCTATAGACATAGATAAATATTCCATTAATACTGAGGAAGTGAAGAATGGGTGTTATGAAATATAAGTTTAAGATCTACTAGATCATTTTGCAAAGATTTTTGGAGGAAAGACTAAATTTAGAATAGAAACAAAATAACATATAGGACATAAAATTTTAGCTATTTCAGGTACAGTTTTTTTCTATGACTGGCTGATAAATTCTCCAGTTAATACTGTCACCGGTTATTACCAACTAAAATAATCTTTGCTTTTAAAACTTCCAATTTTTTATCTATGTATTTGGGATATCAAAACACATCTGTGTGGAAGGGCAAGCTCAGATTAGGGACATCTATACTGAAAGCTTTGGAGACATAGTTAAAAGTAGCTTTGAAAAGATATATATAATTTATTTTTTTAAGTATTTAGTGCCCAGGGAGAACTCATGTATAATGTATAAATTTGTAACCCTTGGGAATGGTGTTCTTGGATCTCATATCTCATGGGAACTCGTCATAATCTTTAGATATTTTCCTGTAGGGCCCAGAAAGCATAAATACTCAATGGGATCAAGTGTTCATGAATTTTATATGGCACTGCGAATAATACTAAGAAAAGCATTCAATATATAAATAAGTAAATTATAGTAATGGGGAAATTTAATATACTAGTCTACAAATCTAGAAAAAAAGCCCTAAAGCCATTTACAAAGTAGTTATGAATAGAAAAGAAAAATAATCATAGATTGTGGGATGAAGGGAGACTCCTTCAGAGAGGAATGGAATGCCAGTGTGGTTTGTTCAGCCTGATGATAAAAAAGTTAAATATTAAACCAGAGATACTTCGTCTGAATAAGTCTGTTTAATAGTTTCCAAAAAAAGTGTTTAATTTTTAAGTGTTTTTGGCAGACTGACTTATGACTCAAATGGTGAAAAGAATTGGTATGTCTAAAGTTTAAAGGCCATATTTCCATTAGATATGTTTTAACACATTTTCTCCTATTTTTACCATTATGGTATTAACCCTACTTTTTCTAACCTTTAAACTGTGACTTAAGAAAAATCATGGAAAAAGACAGAATATAATGAAAATTAAGTATTAAAAAACATTACTTTTTAAAAATTTCATTAATTTTCACAATATCTAACCTACGTCTGATTTCTAACAGTTATGTAATGTGATCTTGTTAACTTTTGTACAATGCATGTTGGGGGGATTGTTGGTGTGTGTATCTGTTGAAGTTGGACAAAAAAATAACCTTATATAATAAAACTGTGCTTAAGGTGATTTAGATATAAGCATCCCTACAGTTGTTGCCATTGGAGTAATTTGTGTAAATGAAGAAAAATTTATAATTCATCACTTTACAATTATGTGAACGTAAAAGGACTGCGGAGGAAAAACAACAGTCCTTACTTCTATCCACTCAGTTATTAACATGACTGACAACAGATTTATTTTTTAATCTGAGAATTCTCCTATAAATGCCTCCAGGTATAACTGGAAACAAATTTTGTTTGTACTTGTATGGTTATTTTTATTTATATGTCTTTGAAATAATAATGTATGTTTTAGAGATTGGAAATAATTATATCAAAATTTTCAAACCAGAAAATATTTTCTATCTGGGTCCCATTACTAGACCTTAATTATTTTACATGTTTGATATTAAGATACTGAAAAAAGAAATCTTCCTTAGACTCATTAATTTAAAAAAAAAGCGCTATAAGTTGCCCTATAATTGTTGGTACAGATTGTACTTTTCAGAGGACAACTTAGGAAAAAATCCTCTTTCAAACTTAATCCTGATCTCCAATTTGATAGGTGTGCAAACCAGAACAATCTGATTGTCTCACTTAATATATGCCATGTGTTGCAATAACCATAGTTATCTGTAGTTAATATTTATTTAATTACTTGTTAGCCAAATATTTGAATATCCTTATGATAGGGAAATACATGTCTTCTAAAATTTTGTCATCACTCTTTTGTGATTTGCTGTGTTTGAAACTTACCAAATACTCTTCATCTCTTTTAGGCCATGCTGACCTCAAGTTGTTCAGCTTTTCAGTCTGTATTTTAGATAAAGAATAAAATGGTAAGTGTAAAGCATAGAAGCAGATGGAAAGAAATTTTATGGTAAACATTTTCTTGTAATTTTTATTTACTAATACTAATTTACATATTATTAATTTTAAGATTACACTAATTTTTGTTATAATTTTCTTTTAATTTTTACTCATTTACTTCTTTTAATTTTTCCCCATAAACTCACTATTCTCTCTTTTTTTAAAGCTTTATTATTTATTTGAGAGAAAGAAAAAGACAGAGAGCAGGGGGAAGGGCAGAGGGAGAGGGAGAGAAGCAGACTCCATGCTGAGCATGGAGTGGGACTTAATCTGGGATCCTGAGATCATGACCTGAGCCAAAATCAAGAGCCTGCCACTTATCTGATTCAGGCACCCTTCACTATGCTATTTCTTAAAACCATAGCATCTCTAGGTTTCCATAAGCTTTATCTTTATCTTTCTCCCTGCTTATGCAATTTCCTGAAACCCTATTTATATATTTCTATCTACTTATATATCCACTACTGTCATTTATATATATTTTTTTCATTTTTCAGAATCATTACTTTTAGAGGAAAACTGCACTTTTTTTTTTAAATTACACACACCAATATTACCAGACTGTTCCTACTGATTTTGTTTGAGAGTACAACATGGGAAGAAAGGGATGATAACAGAGATTGATGGGATGGAAATACTAAGAAGGATAGAAAATAAAACCATTCATGATATTTCATATTAATTTTCTCTGAAATTGTATCTCATTAGCCATGAAAGAAATGACAGAAGAATCAGTCACTTGAATTTCATTAGTTGAGTAAAATGGTAAAGCTATAGTAACCTTGTTTTTGACAGGATCAAGTGTTGTATATTTTATGAAAACATTTTCTGATGTACTTTTAATGACAATAATCATTTTGGTTCTAGAATGAAAATCTCTTAATTGAATAGGAAATGGGATCTATCTCAACTCTTGCATAAAATCAAGAGAGAAGAAGCATTTTTCCATGTTTTAAAACGTACTCTAATTTCCCTGTGATATTTCCTCTTATATAAAAATGCTCAACAATTGCTATAATCACATAGGTTATTCTCTGGTAGAACTGAATTAAGGATGAAATTCTCTGTACAGCTGCTCTGGAAATGCAAACTATAGTTCTTCCTGGCATATCCATTTTCAAAACATGAATGAGCATTGTATTCTATCTGAAATATCACTTTACTAACTTTAAACACTTAAATCACTGTTATTTTTCCATTGGGATCATCAATTTCTTTCTTCCTTTCTTTTCTATTTAGACCTGCAAAAGTAAAGGTCAGTAATGGAAAGCTGCACACAAGCAATAGTGTTTATCCTGGCAGGTTTGACTGATGACCCACAGTTGAATGTTGTGTTATTTGTCTTTCTGCTTCACACCTACTTGCTGAGCATCACTGGCAATCTGACCATCATCACACTCACCCTGGTGGATACTCACCTCAAGATCCCCATGTATTTTTTCCTTCGGAATTTTTCCTTCCTAGAAATTCCCTATACTACTACATGCATCCCTAAATTATTGGTTACTATGGCAACTGGAGACAAAACCATTTCCTTTAATTGTTGTGCAACTCAAGTGTTTTTTGCCTTCCTTCTTGGTGCATCTGAATTTTACTTGCTGGCTGCTATGTCCTATGACCGCTATGTTGCCATCTGTAAGCCCCTGCATTACACAACCATCATGAACAGTAAGGTCTGTATTCAACTTGTCTTCTGTTGTTGGTTTGCTGGTTTTTTGGTCATCTTTCCACCTCTCCTTCTAGGCCTAAATCTTGACTTCTGTGCCTCTAAAATTGTTGCTCATTTCTACTGTGATACAACTCCCCTCATGCAGATCTCCTGTTCAGATACACAGCTCTTGGAAACAATGGGATACATCTCTGCTTTGGTGACACTTGTAGTCACATTAATAATGGTGTTACTATCATATACCTATATTGCCTTAAAAATTCTAAAAATCCCTTCAAGTAAGCAGAAGAAAAAAGCTTTTTCAACATGTTCTTCTCACATGATTGTGATATCCCTTTCTTATGGCAGCTGCATCTTCATGTATGTTAAACCATCAGTCAAACAAAGAACATCTTTTTTCCAAGGGAATTGCAGTGCTCAATACTTCCATGGCTCCACTTTTGAATCCTTTCATTTACACTTTGAAGAACCAGCAGGTGAAGAAAGCCTTCATGAATAGAGTACACAAAATTGTTTATTTTTCAAACAAATGAGTTTCCTGTTGCATAATACATACTGGAAATGAACAAAGTAGTCTCATATAATACCAGTGTATTCAATAGTAGCTTTCAGTACATAGTTTCCTGTTTTTTCCCTTTATCCCTATGATACTCATCTTAATCTCTTTCAAGTTTTATTCACAAAAGCCTTTGCTTTTAATGTTCACATTCCTATATTCTTCATGAGATATATCTTTTTTTCTCATCTCACTTCCTTTTCCTCTAGATATAGGAAAGAAATCGAGCCACATTTTTCAATCTGTCTCTTTTGTCTATAATTGCTACTTACTCAAGACTACAAAATAGTGTTTAATTTGAATTATACTTATTGTAACACACAATTCAAAGGTTATTACTATCTTTATTTGTGATCAGGTTTATTTTCTTAAACACAGTGAGTTTATTTACAGAAATTACTCATTAATTTATAATAAAACATTATATTCATTTATATTTTTAAAATACAATTTGTTGGCAATAATTATGTTTAAAGTAATTATAATAAAATTTTAACAGAGATTAGCCATCAGTGGTAGTGCTCATCTTTGAAATTGTCTATTAAATATATGATTGTTTTGCTAAAGTGTGTTCTGTAGGAACTAGTTATTTAGAAGAAAATATGTTTGAATAATGCTATCTTAAGGAGCTGAATAAAATATAAGCAGGAGGGAGTCTACATATATGATCAACTGGACAATATTATATGTTTATGTAAAGCTTGTAGAATGAACTGCTTCTTAAAAGATATTTGGGTCACATATATGATTTCAAGAATGTTGTAATTATATATATATATATATGTGTGTGTGTGTGTGTGTGTGTGTGTGTGTGTGTGTATTGTGGGAGGCCACGATAAGGCTTGAGATGAGGACCAAACCAGGCCCTGACTTGTGCCTCCTTTAAAGGCTGAATAGCCAAACAAAAGGCTTAGGTTGATAAAGTCAAGTAGCAATGAGAAAGGGTCTGTGCTATGTGTTGTGCATTCACCTACGTGACTTCCCACACGTTTGCTAGTCATATAGAAACGATTTGGTTGGGGTCATAAATTCTTGGCTGGTCCTTGCTGTCCTTGCATGGGTTATAGACTACACCATTGTAAGATTGGGCTATGCTTACATAAACTATGTCTTGAGTGGCCTTGAAGTCAATACATCTGGCGCTGGAGGGTCTGCTATTGGTGCTTGGGAAATAGATAATGGGAAAGCTTGAAGGATTTTCTGTGCATGTTGCAAACTCTTTTGTAATCAGTTAAAATAGATACCTTTTTGTAGTTGTTTCTGTTAGCCATATAATGCCTTGCTGCCTAGAATAAACTCGACACTATTGGACATCCTCCTTGGTGCTCCTCCTGCCCCCATCTCTTTGTCTCTTAATTTCTTTTCACCATCCTCTTACCCTCATGTTCCTGATCGATTTGTCGCGCCGGCCGCAACAGTGTATACACATACATATACACACATAGTATGTACATATGTACATGTGTATATGTATGTATGTATGTGTGCATGTACATATATGTATACATATACATATATGTATATCCATATTGAGACAGTCTAATACAGTTGATCCCAGAAGAGCATAGCAGTTGGGGCAATGCCCCTTGCAAAGTAAAATCCATGTATAACTTTAGACTCTCTAAAATGTTTACTGTTAATAGACTACTGTTGACAGGAAGACTTACTGATAACATAACCAGTTTATTGACACATATTTTATATATTGCATGTATTATATCTTGTAATATTACAATAAAATAAGCTTGATAAAAGAAAACATTATTAAGAAAATCATAAGAAAAATACATTTACAGTACTGTATGTATTTATCAAAATATTTACATATAAATGGAATGGTGAATGTCAAATCTGTATTGTACAAGGGTCAGCTGTACAAGAATAAACTAAACTAAGGCTGTCTCAATATTCTGATTATTTTGATCCTATTAAGGTGCCAAATACAATGAGTTTGCTTAAAACATACTGTCCGGGGGATAGGGTCTTTGGATGATGGGTATTAAGGAGGTCACATGATGTGATGAGCACTGGGTGTTATATGCAACTGATGAATTATTGAAGACTACCTCTGAAACTAGTGAAGTACTATATGCCAGCTAATTGAACTTAAATTTTAAAAAAGGAAAAAATAACATGCTGTCCAAGTTAGCCACTAATTCATTTGGAGCTATTCTGAAAAATCTTCTCTTACATATTTTAAGATGTCTGTCACTTACAAGTTATTTATCACAGATTCTCTAAATTTTAATAAGGGTCTGGCACTTCTAAACTAAGACTTTCCCATTCCTACTTCTTCCCAACCCCAGACAGATGACAGTTGCACCACCTGCCTTCTACGTTTTTTTGTCCATGAAATATCACTTTATATCATGTCTACTAGAACTGCAACATTTGATCTCACAATCCTGATTGGCCAAAGAGTTTACTACTGCTGGATTTTGCTTTGTTTTTGCTTCTGTTCTTGTTAAATTGGTCTTTAACAAGTAATATAGCTTTTTAAATACAGATACAACTTAGTTCTTGAGACAGCTTCCACCCGAAATGCTGAAATGCTTTACCAGAAATGGTTCCAGCTTTGCTGCTCTAGTGATGTATGCCAGACAATAAATATGATATAAAAATAAGATTTATATTACTGTTGACCATCCAGTAGGTGCATGCACTGCTAGGTATTCTATATAAATCACATAATTATGGAAACAATATTATAATATAATTATTATTAGCATTATGTATAGTAACAAAAGAAAGTTCAGAGTGACTAAGATCATTTTGAGAGATACACAGTCAAAATGATTGGTGGAAACTTAAACTCAGGAAGGCTTAGTTTTCATTACTTCAACTGAAGATCTTGTTATCTATTAAATTTTTATCTTAAGCTTATTCTCCAGATAATATGGACTTGTCTGGTAGATATCTGGTCTTTATTTTCTTAACAAAATGAGTGTTCTGAATGATGAGTAAAAGAGTATTAGTAGTATCACTTTCATTCTGCTTGCCATTATACTTTTGTAAAACTCCCACATCTTGTGCTTTCTAAAATTTTCTTGTCTCAAATGTATAAACTGTCCTGAGCCCTCTAAGTATTCAATTAAAATATCACCTTTCTGGGGAGCCTGGGTGACTCAGTTGGTTAAGCATCTGCCTTTGGCTCAGGTCATGATCCTGGGTCCTGGAATCAAGCCCCCCTAACAAACTCCTCATTGAGTCCCCCATTGAGTCCCCCATCAAGCCCTGCATTGAGCCCTGCATGCAGCTCCCTGATCAGCAGGCAACCTGCTTCTCCCTCTCCCTCTGCCTGCTACTCCCCCTGATTGTTCTCTCTCTCTCTGTCAAATGAATAAGTAAAATCTTTTTAAAAATATCATCTTCTTAGACCATTGCCTATTTTTTCAAAGGAGACTAAATCACTCAATTTTCTGGGTAACTGCATCCTCAATACATTATTATTATTATTTTTTTTTAGTAATTCAATGACATCTATCTTTTTAAAATGGTTTTATTTATTTATTTGACAGCAAGAGATAGAGCAAGAGCATGGGAGCAACAGGCAGAGGGAGAGGGAGAAGCAGACTCCCCACCCAGCAGGGAGCCCTATGTGGGACTCTATTCTAGGATACTGGATCATAACCTGAACCTAAGGTAGACACTTAATGACTGAGCCACCCAGGCACCCTCAATGGCATCTATCTTATGAATATCATTCTAATTTGTTAGTAGATTTGTTCATAAAATTAGCTGTTTTAATTAATTTTTCCAACATAAATTCTTTTTTTAAAAAAGATGTTACTTATTTATTTGCAGACAGATCACAAGCAGGTAGAGAGGCAGGCAGAGAGAGGAGGAAGAGAAGTAGGCTCCCCACTGAGCAGAGAGCCTGATGTTGGACTCAATCTCAGGACCCTGGGATCATGACCTGAGCTGAAGGCAGAGGCTTTAACCCACTGAGCCACCCAGGTGCCCTTCCAAAATAAATTCTAATAGGTATGGATTTCTCCATCTTCTTATGCTCACAGTCTTGTTTTTGTTCTTCCTCAATTAATCTTCTTAAATGTAAATAAAACCCTGTGATTAAGAGCTCCTTATATGAAACTCAAAAGAAACTTACAGAAGCTACCATGCTTTGTCTTGGGAAACATATCTCACATTTTGGTCAGTTGAATCCCTTATGCTCTGACTAAAAATTTTTATTTGCCTATTTCTTACTATAAATTCAACACCAATATTTTTATTCAGTTGAAAAATAATGTAAGGTTAAGTTGTCTGAACATTAATGTATGAAAGGGTAAAGATAATTGTCCCATAAAAAATTGGTGTTAGGTAGACTCTGGTCTTTTTCTGAAAATCTCAAATGTCATTTCCTAAATTTTAGAATACATTTCTCATCATTAAGGCTTCCTTTTCCCCAAAAGTAGCATAATTGCAATATTCAGATTATCTAACAAATTTCTACTCATTTCTTTCCATTGGTTTGTTATAATGCGAAATTTTTAGTTACAGATGCCATCTTTTTAACTTTTATTTACCTTGATTATTTTTATATTTCATTTATGATACTATTTAATAAAAGCTAAATTAAGTTTTCCACTGTGATCAGAATACTTGAAAGATTCTCTTCTTAATAAGTGTCTCATTGCTTGTTTTCCAGTCTGAACTTAGGAAGCATCAGCCTTTGCCTACATTTAGCTATTATTGCCATCACTACATTTTTACTTCACATTTTCTCCTCAACCTTCTCACTAGTCTGTAACCCACCCATCCATTAACTCTATTGTTTCAGACTCCACCTTTCCAGAGTCATGAGCCATCTTTGGGGTTTTTTGTTTGTTTGTTTGTTTGTTTTGTCATTTTAATATATTTCAGCAATATTTGGCACAATTGATTGTTGCTTTCTACTTAATAACATTTATTTGCCCTGGTTAAAGGAAACATTATTTTGTGGACTTCTCAGCATATTGGCGATCCTTCCTCATTTTC